GGGGGAATTTTTCGAGGTGCGATGTTTTGAAAAAGAAATTGGCATGGCGAATTGGAAAGAAATGGAAAAGTGAAACTTGGCACACGTATAATGACATGATATTACTGAGCTGAGAGAGTATTCAGCTTACAGAAAATGTTGGCATCCGTGGATCATTTACTTGCCAGGATGCACATGTGTTGGGCACTGCCTCTCCATTTCCCAACATGCGACTATCCTCACGTTCACGTAGCCTATGAACGAAAAAGGCATAGATGTATTTCAGGAGATGACATCATCTCATTGAATAGTAAAAGCCCTGTCCTTAGACGTAATTTGTCGTCATTTTCCTGAAGTTTTCTTAATTTGATCGAGTTGGAATCGTATACTTATGAAGAAGGAAGTATTTTGCTTTTTTTGACCTCATTTCGAAGCCAGAGAAACCCTCTTACACTGAATCAAGAAGCTTACCGCCATATGCGATATTTTCCCTTTCCCAATCATCATTGATGATACAGCGTGAGTCAAAAGTCCTGCTCACCTTTGGAACGTTAGTAACATCCCTACGCTATACAGCATAAATCAATGTGTAGTTTTCATCATTCGAAAGACAACAATTCGGTCTCGAATTAGCGGGTTTTTCAATATAAAATGTGCCAATGGTATAGTTCGGACAAGATAAATCCTATTGTGGGGGTCCTACAAAGGGATTTTTTGATAAAGAAAATCCTTTAAAGGCAATGACACCTGCAAATTAGCTTGTGGCGCCGCGTCCAATTGATGAAGTGTCTGAGTTATTGTGTCTTTGTTGCGATTAATTCCAAATCAAGGAGAATTGAGAAAAATGGCTTATTAATCGACCATTGATAAACGAGTTTCAAATATTTCGCTTTACTCTAAATGCTATGAGAACCGCCCGACAATTCGGGAAGAAATTTATCGGAGAAACCATGAGCCGTAAGTTCAGTGCCTGTTATCCACTCGAATTTTGACAACACGGGAACCGTAGTAGATCGTCCTCGACCTGGATGCCTTCTGACAGTTGAACGGAAAAGTAGACACGGGGCGGCAAGCATATTTTCAGGTGCAAATGCATTTATTTGACTCAGAATAGGAATTTCATTTTCGAAGGATATCATCGGCAAAATGATGCAAAAATCCTCCTTAAATCGAGAAGTATCTAGTCTCTCGAATGTTGAATTCCGCATATTGATTAGATCTAGCTTTGAGGTTATTAAATTTCAAAAGGTGGGTAGCACTTTTGACTCACCCTGTATTCACTATACCTTGTGTTCTTAGGGTGTGAAGATACACAGCAAATGGCGCTGCAGTAGTCCTACTAGCATTTCAGAGCGTGTAATGGAGACTCACCATATTTGGCCCTCTTTTGAAGCAAGATTGGAGATATTGGGATTTGAACGTGCGTGGCGAATTGTGGAAACCTGGTTCCCATTAGATGAGCCCGTGCATCCTGCGGAAAAATTCTTAAAAAGAAGTTCAAATGCATCGAAGGGAACTGAAGCCAATAGGTGCAGTCTTGCCCTATCGTTTGGTCAAGAGAGGGAAGGAGAGGGAGTACCCCACCACGTTCGCAAAATTTACATTGTGTTCACCATCACCTTTGAAGTCCCAAGTTATTCTGCTCTAATTCTGCACCTACTAAGGCATCTCTGCATTAACGGGGAACCCAAGTGGCAGGCGTGAGGTTATCTTACTGAAATATTATCTATCATATTATCTATAGGCACGTATTCGTAATCGATTCACTATGACAGGAACTATTCACTATGACTATTCACGATTCACTATGACAGGAACGTTTCGGCAAACGAATACGACGGCTGAAGTCCGTTGGACCTCTTAAGCAGTAAAATTAATTCACCCTCAAACAAAATGTACCACATGCATCCAATTAAATATTGTGTCGTCATAACTGTGCAAGGCTCCAATCTTTTTCTGAGCGGTAAGGTTTTCTGAGTTGAGTAGTGCACGACACGCGCACTACTCAACATTCAACAGTCATGGCTCAAACACCATGTTACGTAGACCGTTTCGCTTCCACGAGATGTTGCATACCACATGCTTACAGAAATGATGGCCTGTACGCCACTGTGTTTGCGATATCGCCTGTTCAAGGATGGAAGCAAGCCGTTGAAGAATTACCCGAAGTTCAGACGACCATATACTTCAAAAAAATGTTCTCCAGAACCTAACATGCGCGTCTGGAGGTCTCATGCATGCTTCCTTAGTAACAAGAGAGAATGCCCCCGAACGTAAGCGTTTTGTACGCCTCATCTGTACCCCACTGTGAAGTATTTCTTAGTCACTCCATGATCGGCTGTTAATATATCAATCCAATAACTTTTAGAATTGGCCATGTATCTCAGAACATTAGAGAAGTGAGTACGTTTATCTCGGACTATCCCTCTATTTGCATTCTGTTCCTCCTTGAGCTGCTCCTCAAGGTCCTTTGCTTTCTTCTTCAGGGTCCGCAGTTCCAGCTGCAGCTTTTCAACCTGGAATCATGAGTCATTCTTTCACTCGGGCAAGAAAAGTATGTACACACCAAAGGGAGATGGTATGGAATTAGAGACCTCATATCTACTTTCCTCAAGTTGCTTCTCAAGGTCCTTTGCTTTCATCTCCATGGTTCGCACATTCGACAGCTCCAGCCGCAGCTCTTCTATCTGGAATCATGAATTATCCTCCTAAATCTGATCCCTTCAAAAGGTAAAATGAGAGTACATAAGAGACCTCTTTGTTTTCCTTGAGGTCTTTCGCAAGCTTGCGTTTCTCTCGCTCTGTCTCTTCATGCACTAACTTCTTGGGTTCCTCTTCAAGTTTTCTAATCCTACTCTCAAGCTCCACTTTTTGCCTCTTCTCCAAAGCCAGTTCCTTTTCCATTTCTTTGTTCCGTGTTTCCAGGTCCTTTTCCTTCTCCAGCTGAATGCGAATAAATGCCTGGTGATCAAATCTCATCAAGTATTTAGTCCGCATGGCCTGTTCTCCGTGATGAGTCATGTTTTAATAAATTGAAGGCAAGTAGTATAACCTTATAGTACATGGAGGCCTGTAAGTCCCGACTGGGTCATAAAAATAGGTTACTATTTTAAACTTTCCTGGACGTTTTTAGCACATTGAGGATGGGCCCTGTGTCTACGTGGGTTTTCATGCGTCAAAGACGGGACTTGTGTAAACACGGATTTTGCAAATGACTAAGAAACAAGCATCTTTTGACATCTGTTGGGGGGGGTTGAAATTATTTAACAGATGCTCTTGATTAGGAAGCTCTCTACTCTTTGAAGATTTTAAATTTAAGACAAATCCATTTAGAACTTTAGGAGTTTAGCCTTTTCAGTGCTACGGTGCGTTTTGCAGTTCAGTTTTCTTAAAATGCCTCGGGAACCAGTTCTAAGGTAACACAATTCCGTCCGGTCATCAATAGTCCACTATTTCTGTGGACTTCATTATGTTCAAAGCAAATAGAAATCCGGAAGTTTGTGCGCCTGGATGTATTTCTTAGTATGAGTTTCATTTTCGCAGAAGTATCATGCACAGCATTTATAGGCTCATTTTAAAGCTCATCCACATTTAGCCTAATTTTTTGGATACAATTTCTCCTTTATAAACGACCATGACCTCTTCTTGCAACACCTCATCACATCAGCAAAAAAGTATGGACCAACAAGAGTGAAAGATATCTGGATATTTTGTCATATTACCTGATTCTAGACTTTATTGACAAATGAATTTGTCATTCAGTAACCTGGTCACTTTGCCCTTGAAGTACGAGTACTTTCTTAGGAAAAGGCAGAAAGAATTGGCTTCCATTTAGTAGCGAAGATTTCTTACCTGCTTGAATGCACTTCGGGTGTCCTCTTCCTGGTTATCCATGCAATCTGTGGGAAAATTCGTCAAAAGATGTTCGAAGTCTGTTCACCAAAGGAAACTTATATCAGCAGTTGCAATCTTGCCTATAGATTTTAGTCAGGATGGTGAAGGAGGGGGAGTACCCCACCACGTTCGCAAAAAGTGGGTTCTGTGTTCACTATGTATTGCCTCATTTCCCCCTGGGTAGTCAGAAGTTATTCTTCCCCTAATTCCGCATCTACTAAGGCATCTCTGCGATAACGGGGACCTCTAAAAGGCAACTTATGGATCTTAAGGAACATGAAGCAACAATTTTGTTTGTTATAACAAAACGTCAGTACATGAATTTTCCCACATCATCTATAGTCAATGCTTGCTTATAGTCGATTTACTTCGAGAAGAACGACTCGGCGAAAGAATTTTACAGCTTATGTCTGTTAGGCTCCTTAGGTAGCAAAATTAATTCACTCAAGCATAAGCCATGGCCAAAGCCAATATATGGGGTACGTCTTATTGACCCTATAGGGTTAACTGTACCTCATTTTTAATTCTTGCTCATGCGCCAAAAATGACCGATAAAGAGCCGACTTTCTCTGAAGCATGGAATGAACAATTACAAACATATTTATTAATCCATAGAATTCCAACTTACCAATATGTCGGCTCTTCCTAATGCGATACAATTCTGCTTGGGAGCGAAAGAGTGGAGCAATATAGAAAGATGGAAACGATCCATCTTTTGACATTTCCATGCTTGGAAAAACCGCTACTTCTCTTATTAATTCCGCACTTGTTCCCACAATCTCTGGTGAGCTAGGTGCTCATCAGAGCTAACAAAAAATCATTTTTGGTCCTTCTATGAATCCCTGCTCTCCAATTAGCTCCATTGAAGCCTTCCTCATTGCGACCATAATCCAAAATGCAATTATGAACAATAGATCAGATCCCATCCTAAAATACTTTAGTGCATTCCATTTTCATGCAAGCAAGGATAATGTATTCCAATGAGAAGTCAGCATTAATTTACATTCAACATAGACGCTTTCGCCTATTTGAGATGATTTTAGGCGAGATCCAATTTGAGTTCATAGAGTCAAGTGGCTACTACAATCATGCTCCCCCTCGAATAAGAATGAATCTTGAATTAATGTGTTAAGGAATTCCATTGTCTTTTCCAAAGATCTAAGAGAGACACGATCGGGAACCGCACAAAAGGTACAGTAAGCTCGATTCAATAGAATCAACAAATTACTCCCTACAACGACGATTTAGGCACCATCTCACTCTGGTTTTGGGAACCTTCCTCGTTCGCGTGAACGTCAGATCATTTGTCTGAGGCTTTAATATGGCTCAATTTCGGGTCTTCCATGTTTGGCCGGTTGTACGTATACCGCTGCCGTGTCACCATGAGAAGGGACAACTGTTAAGGCAACTACGGCACAAATATGGTTTGAATGATCAATTCACCTGTGTATAATATAATATAATATAAGCCGATTTCTCCATCTATAGACAGACCATGCAAACAATTAGCAAATTTTCTTTGAAATTTTTAAGATGCGATGAGGCGAAATTAAATAAAATTTGGCTATTTGTTCATCGAAATTCCTACATATTCAAAAGGTTGCTGTATACGCCATATAAGGTTGATACCTCTGTGCATCACAGATAAGGCAGCGACACGAATGGCAGTAGGTAGATACCTCCAATGAATAGTGAAAAATGGCAGCGCCTCTCCGGACATGTGCCTTAGAAGAACGACGAGCGGATACGGTTTTCATGGTCGGAAGGTGTAAGGCCAATTGACATTTACAGAAGAATGTCAGTACAATATGGTTCTAGCTGGTTGAACCGAAGAAAAGTTAACAAGAGGGTGGAATGGTCCAGAAGTGGCAGGAAACATCTTCGCAATGAACAGCGTTCGGAATTATAGCGCGAGGTCTCTAAGGCAAGGGCAGCCCAAGTAATACAGCATGTTGATGAAACGTTTCCGAAATGTTGCCTATGTTGCTCTATGTTGCAAGTTGCGGTACAGCATTAAGAAAACATTGCTTCAATGTTTTCACTTGGAATTATATCACGTGTCGAGTAAGTCTCGCTTTCTCACAGTACACAAAAGTACTATTCTCCCTTTCCCTGGAATAGTCCCGCACTGGAATGTCTAGTACTTTGCCATATGTCTTGCATTGTCTCATTATAGGAATCAATGAACACGGACACTTCATCACTTGTTATCCTCATATTCCAGACAGATTAATGGGGTCAAGATATAAAAGCTCATATTTCCAAAATGAACCCTTTTTCCAAGAATTCGTTGAATTCATCCTACAGGGAACAATGGTAGAAAGTCTGCGATATCAATACTTCATATCTTCATCTTGGGTACTAGTTGAGAACATGAAGGATTGATTTCGTGGACACTCCATAGAACATTGCGGTCGGACCTTTTCCTGTATTGTGGACTTCAGCACATAAGGGGAAGATCACCTCCAAAAATGTACTGTCTCCTGCCTGTACATGATACAGGTAATGTATTATGCAAGGGTAGAGGGTAAAACCAGTACAGGCTTTGTCCGGTTGATGAGAATGTCTTAGTAGTGAGGTAAAGTATATGGTACGAAAGGATGAAATAAATAATTCAATATTGGTCAAATATCGGTTCAGTTCAGGACCAGTGAAGCCTATGATTTTCCGTAATGCCAATATAGGCCAAGATTAGGTGCCCGTGAAGCAAAATTTTTAATCAACATTGCAGCAACAAAAATCCTGAAACGTATCTGCAACATACCTTGTATATGTAATGAATAAGTAGCGATTCGCAACGTAATTGCAATGTTTGAGCAACGTTGACGTTTTGAACATTTACACATAGATACAACGTTGTTCATCAGCATTTCCTAAACGTTGCTGGAATATCTTGTGTTACTTGGGAGTCTATGGCAGTAAATGACTGATTTTGAATGACCTCTTTGAATAGTCCCTGGCTGACTGGAATGTGTATGCCAAAGGATTCTGCCCTGTATCACATTTCTAACTTGCTGTTTCTTCTGTTATAAGTTTCCGTCATACCCACTTAGTTTCAAGTTGGTTCCTCATGAAAAATTAATCTTCCCGTAAAGTTGAAGGGGTTAAGGTGATTCCATAATCCAAATATAACCAAAATTTCTCCACCACTTTCTTTAAACAGATAGTGCATCTAATGTCCACTCCAACGCTACATGAAGTTTTACCTTAGAATCAAAGAGACGTAACTCTTAGAGGACCATTCCGAACATCAACCTATTTCTGTTTGAAGACCGTGGCCCCGCCACTATCCAAAGAGCTGATACGACTACCGTGCCATGCAGACAGATGCAAGTCCTCTGCGACAACCGCCCTTCGCCTGGTATATTTATTCCTCAATGTTTTAAGATACACTTGCAGCCTGCGGCCTATTGTTTGCCTAGCATAAGGTCTCCTTGACATCCTCTGTTCATCGCATTACCCATTCAGAACTCAACTGCTTCATTAGATTTATACACATACAGCTTACAGTACACAAGAACATTTTGTGTCTAAACACCATCATCATAATATTCGAGCTCATTGCCACAATAGCCATTGCGAATGCCTCGGATTAGCAGGTTTTCATGAGACTCGAGACGACTTTGCTGATTTCGTCGTCCCAGCATATTCAATACTCTTACATCACAGATTAGATCATGGGTTATAAGCATTAGCTTATGGTACAGGTACCACTGTTTCTGAAACAGGACGGGCCATTTCCAAGAAATTCTTCGACTTTAGCACGAAGGGAATCTAGCGCATGTGCGTCAGAATACAAACGAATAATTCCTGAAAATGCCTCGCCTCTGCATTAGCACCAGTGAGCAACACTTTCAGAGCCTCAGGGTAAAGTGTGAGTTGCAGCAGGAGCCATTTTCCGTTGTGCCAGCAATATGAAAAAAAGCCCCCTCCCAACAGCAAAACGTACAGCCTGGCAGTGCTCGCTGCGGCAAACGACTTTAACCAGGAATGATAAACCCACGCAATAGGCTTTGGACTTGTAGAACTCACCTCGTCGCATCTCCTTGGCAAGAATCTTTTGGTTTATTTCATTGAGGCATTCCAAGAATTTCTGGAATGCTGTGTCTCCTTTCTTTGGCAACTTTTCCTGAAGGAATAGTCTTCTGTCCATATTCTCTGTCTTCTGAATACTGACATATTCCTCATGATCGATCACTTTCTTATTCCACAGAAGCTCAATCACTTTCATATGCTCTAGGTACTTCAAACGTTCCGTGTATTTGGCCATTATGTCGGCAACAGTCTTTCCATCCACATGGAGCTCCTCTTCCGAACAATTCGCCATCGCTTGAGGAAAACAAATGTGTTTTTTTTCCCCCTTTTTCAAGTCACACCAATGCAGATATATCATTCCTCCTATATTCCGCCATGTTCTAAATCGCCAAGAGTTTACTTCCTTTAAAGAAATTGACGCTTCGGGTGTTACTTGCCATTTGTTCCATTTATGTGAACCTCCATCTTTGAATTGCCTGTTCCCTTTGTTGTCAGATTTCCAGAATCCTGTTATTAGTGTCATGAATTTCTTATGAAAAACGATGGTGGCGATGGTAATAGAGCTGGAACTATTTTTGCTACAAATTATATTCAAACAGGTAGCTACACCGAGGTTCATGGACGTAAGACTCTTGAAGCGTCTTATTAGGATTGATTTTGCATCCATTTTAACGGTAATGCAACACTGTTGTCATAGCTGCATAACCCTATATTAGAGTAGTTTAATTCTGAGACCGTTTTATCTTAAATTAATGAAACAGGATATGCCTCAATCTCAAATCCGAATCGAATAAGCAAGACAATCTTGATACTGCCTTTCTTGGAGGGATCAGCTGCTGTGTCAAGGGATGGAACTATCGTAGAGCCATGAGCTTCACAGGGTGAAAATGTAAGCCTTGTACTCACCTGACTGCTCAGGAGGTAGAGGAAGATCAATCCGGAAACATTGCAAACACCACTTTCATGTATAATTGGCTGAGAGCTGGTTGGTACTGAAGGCATAGCGACCTGACAGTCATGACAAGGGAAGCACATCTAAATCAAGTCCCCAAAACACGTTCATATTGGCAACATCATATGGCAGCAACATCGCAATGACAAGTAAGAAGCTAATATTTATTTTTTCCCCACGAACAAAATGGCTCGTCTACGCATAAAGAAGAATGGTGGGGTACTCAATGACTTATCTTTTATGGCCTCTTCGTGGAAATGAGAAGCCCTCACCTGCGATAGATAGGAACTCATATCAGTCTTACGTATACCTGTACAGGGTGTCCAATAAGTCCATCTTCAAAGAGACATATTGATGATATGGTTCTTTGCAATGTACAGGTGAGTTATTGAATACTAGCAAGTTTGTTTGCCCTTCGGGCAAAAAACTCGCAATGGTCGCGCCTTCGGCGCTCCATTACCTTGAATAGTGATTAATTCATTAATTTTTTTGCGAAATGGGAAACACGTATTTAAAATAAGTCCCCATTGAAATACGTGACACATGGGGTCAAAAGTCTTGATTTTTATCAAACTCTTTAATTCTATGTGTGCCTAACTTTAAATACTTTCTTATGTCCCTTTCAGTAAGGGTGGAGAATACATTTTGAAATACTTCCCTCCAATAATCTATGTTATGGAGACATTGTTCAAAAATATGATTTTTCCAGTACTCAGCCATTAAACAGGTTCTTCTGAGGGAAGTTTAAATTTTCTGTCTCTGTTTTGTTGGATCAAAAGAATAAGGAAAGTGGGACTTAAAACTTTTGCTAAAACCCATCAGAGCCCTGATGGGCTTTAGCGAAAATTTTGTTTTCCTCTGAAATGGAGACTCAGGGAACTCCATGCTATCCAGTTTCAGCCTTTTACGTTTCCCCTTTTTGAATTAGCGTCAGTCACGATCGTCAATATATATTAGAAAGTAGAATTTTTTCTTTACACAGCTATTTATCAGTTACTTATTTGCCAAGTTTTATAACTTTCATGCGCCCTCTGTTTTGTTGGATCAGAAAATTCGTGAAAATACGCCCTTTTCAAAATAGGTGCCCGGAGCTGTTTTAACCGAAACGTACCATTTTTTTCTTACCGAAATCCATCCTCAGTGAACTACATGCCCACAACGTTTCAATATTATATGAATACGTTTGCCATTTGCGCTGGTTAAAAAACATGTTTGGAAATGCCGACCCACCCTAATGCTATGTCCGGAGGGAATGCACCATGAAAGCTGAATACCCCCTCAGCTCAGTAATATCATGTCACTTATATGTGTGCCAAGTTTCACCATTCCATTTCTGTCTAATTCGCCACGACAACATTTTTTTTTTCAAAACATCGTCCTTCGAAAAAGTACCCCCAGGGGATGTATCGAGACTTAACATTTTCTTTTAACTCCTTGTCTCAATAGTCACATTCATGCAAAGTTTCAGCTTTCCACGTTCACCAGTTTAACTGATGCAAAAAACTTAGCTGAAAAAAACTCTCCCTTTGAAATGTGTGTCCCCAGGCATTTACTTCCAAAGTCCGATGTTTTCTGGAGCATCCCAATAGGTAGTTACGTAGTATGTACCAAGTTTCATCTTTCCACACTAGCTCAATACGCCTGGCCAAAAAAAAAAAATAATTGAAAACGTTGGCTCAAAAAAAATATGCCCCAGGGCATGGATCTAAAATTTTCCATTTTTCCTGAAATCATTGTCTCAGTTAGGCACGTCCATGGCAAGTTTAAGCTTTCCATGTTTCTCCGTTTTACTCAAGCAAAAATAATGTTATGGTGGGGGAATGAGTAACGGGACATGGTAGGCAAAAAAAGCCAAAAGAAAGCCAAGAAATGGCCGGGACTCCAACCCGGACCTTCTGATTGCTACTCAGAGATGTTTCTGTACACCACCGAACCCAGCACATTCAGTTGAATCTCTGATTGCCATCCTCATCTGTCACAAAATATATTTAAGGAAAACGCCCAATAATTTCTACCCCAAGGGCATGTACCTGTTGGATTTTTTCTGAACTTTGCATCCCAAAAGGTACATGTGTACCAAGTTTCATATTTCTAATCCTTCTACTGTAGAACATGGTTAGAAATAGCGTCAGTCAGGCAGTCAGTCACGTTCGTCTATAGGGGTGAGTGCTGCGAATGTCGGCACTCTAAGCAAATATTGCACTTCCTCTTTGCTTTCTGGTTTACGTAATGGAGCTTCCTCGTTCATATTGGGTCTGGTGATACCTTTATTATAAACCCTCTTGTACCGCAAACCTCGAGTGTCCTAGGCCTTTCTTTTCTGAGGGCCTTGGTAAAAGGTGAAGTTGGGTCAGATGTTGGCAATCTCGGCACACTTGCTGGTATAGACGGCATCACCCTCTCGGGAATCTCGGCACACTTTTGTATCACTGTCGTTTACAACGGATCCAAAAATGAATGCACTGACCTAATAAAACAATACCTAATGTGGAAGAGATGAAAGGAATGTGCAAAAGCTTAGCAAAATCACAAGATTTCGCAGGATTTTCGGAGTGCACTTAGAGGAAGGGGCCACTGCGAGAAAACTACAACAGCAAATATGGCTGTTCCAAGCAAATGTTAACAACATTGGTCCTACCATCTGAGAATACATATCTAGCTGTGCCTAGGGGACTAGTAGTGGAAGCAGAACTTTGACGATTGCAAAGTGCCGAGATTACCCGCAGTGCCGTCATTCGCAGCACTTACCCTATGTGTTAGATAAATGACCCTGTCGAAAGAAGAAATATTTGAGTTAATCCTGTTGAGTGGTGGAGAAGGTTCGACGCAACGCTTTGAAAATCTATATTAGAAAAATACACACAATATCAACTTTTTCCATGATGTTGGATTTCATAGACTGTAGGTGTCATGACTGACTCATGAGGCAGAACTCCAAAGAAAATGCGAGCTCTATCGCAGAGTCCTACGATCCCTGACGAGGTAGCTGCGGAGGACATGTCCCATATGCTGTATCTTGTGACAGCAACTTGAATTAAATGCACCGATTCCACACATCCCCCACGAGCTGCATGTTGAGTAAGGCCACCGAATGGAAGACCATGACCTGACAAATTACGACATGCCATAAGTCGCGGCTGAAAAACTGCCGATCCTCCCAGTCAAATTTTTTTTGAAGACACCGGAAGAGAAAGTGAGGGAAGCGAAGTTTCCCATGAAAAACCTTTGCTGCAATGGTCCCGTCAAACCCAAAACCGAGATCGAGATGCTGAACATCAGACGGAAGGCGAAAGGATGCGAAAGATGATGGAGCAGGACTAAATTCATTTAAATATAGTATCAACTGTCCCAATGCAATCGACAACACGCATTTCACGAATGCCAAAGACTCTTCCGATTGTCTCTCCATAGTTTTGCCATGGAAGCACAAGGAAACGCCCAGAATGAATTTTTTCCTCGAAATGTACTATAATTAGTACATGCAGGGGAAGGTCAAGTCCTGTACTATTTTCAGTCTCCCTCTCATCCATGGAACATAAATGTGCACTGTTAGGGTGTTATACTAGTACGGCAGATAGAATTGTTTCCAACTAGGGCTTAGCAATGCACGGAGATCATCAGGGACAGTTTCTTCCCATTTCTCCAGGGCATGGAAATTGACCGCAGAGAAGAATGTGTGGATCCTGATTGTTGTGTGTGGGCATGCACCATCAACAAGGTAATGCATGCCCACACACGGCAATCAGGATCCTAGACTTCTAGCACTCAGTGTTGAAGACAGGGTGTTGTTTAACAGGTTTCCAGAACGCTTTGGATTGACCTGACCTCCTAACTCGCCAGATTTGAACACGTGTGACTATTTCTTATGGCAACATCTGAAAGATCTATCTACAGATCTGTCCCTAGTTGGGTGTCATTGTAGCATGGGACTACATCGAAATGGATTGCAAGCAGCTACCATCGCAGTGATTTTTCTGTAACTGTGTGGAAAATAAAGTCCAGGTCATATCTGGGCCACCTGCGTGCCTCATGTATACTAGCATGGAATTGAACCTTTCAATTACTGCAGTGAGCATTTCCAGGCCTCCCAGAGATCCTGCTTTTTCAGAGTAAATTTTCCAAATTGCGTGTCTATTGAGACTTGGCATAAGTAAGGTGGCACTGGCAGACAAATCCTCTACACCAGGGGTGCCCAAAGTGGATGTTCTCTAAGGCACTTTGTGTGCTGGATGCGGCCCGCGGGCCGCACTTTGAGCACCCCTGCTCTACACCATCCGAATTCGCATGTATACTGAACACGCAAAAATCAGGTGATGATTCGAGCTACCGACACCATCCTT